ATAAGAAAAACAACATGTACATATATTTGACATGTACATGTATACGAAATAGCTTTATCAGTCATTCTACGATAAGAGGACCAATTCGGGGTATAAAACATGAAAAAAAAAAGAATTGTTTCAAATAGCAAAATGAACATCATAATTCTCTAAAGAACATATCGGTTAACTTAAAAAAAAAAAAAATCAACAAATCGGCTATCGTTAACTTTTTACAACAATTTCAATATAACATTGATTTCAAGGAATGTTACGGAAGTTAATGCTTGAACAAGTCTTATTATTTTTTAAGTAAATCTGAATTTGAACAATTTTTGTTTTCTAATGTTCAGCATAGAACACTAAAGTTTGATTCATGAAGTCTCGCGTGAATTCGATAAGTTAAAATTTCGTGAAAAATATCGTTACGGAAGTTAATTTCCAGCAGTAAAAGTTAAAAATCTCGACAATATTTAAAAATAACTGTTGTTTTAAGATGTTAATCAAAAGTATGAAGCATTTCGCTTCCAAAATTAATATATATATATATATATAAACCTAAAAAAAATCCTGAATTACGGTTACGGAAGTTAAATTTTTAAGAGAGACAACTGTTTTTGTCTAATTCATTTTATTATATCGAAAATTTAATGGTCTAAAGTAGCTCGGAAGATGTTGAAAATAATCGATTTTATTCATTTATTTTAATTAGAAAAAAAAAATTAATCCCTCGAAAGTTCCAAATATTCCTCGCTATATACGATGAAAAATGGCAAAAGACCAAGTACACGAATGTTACAGTATCTTTGTTATAATATTATATGAAGATTGTTAAAATTTGTCTGAAATGATATGGATGTCTGAATTTATGTTTACTGTGTATACACAGACTGCAAATCTCAATGAAACTAAATTAACGATCTTCATGTATACCCGACAAGTGCGTATTATTATGTGGTATTACATAATTAGGTACATGACAAACATGAAGTTTTGTACGTGCGCTATACACACTCCATGATGAATAATGAATAATGAACCATAAAATCAGAATTAGCAAAAAAAAAAAAAAAAATGCATGCTAATATAGCTAAAATATGTAAATGAATCATTTTATTTATTCTTTATTCACTCAAAACCAGATCACTGATACAAGAGGAACATATACACATATATACAAACAAAAATTACAGTCAAGGGTCAAAAAATAGTATATAAAAGTATATAAAGAAAAAAGAAAAGAAAGTAAACATATAATCAGTTATATATATGGAGGATTCAAGAAGGACAGACAGTTTTGAAGATTTTCTTAATAAATTTTGACAATGATTTTTGTATTTCTACAGTATTTGAGTTTATTAGTTCATTAAATGTGAAAGTGTTAGGATTTTTACAATATCTATTTTGGAGAAATATTTTTCTGTCATTCGAAAAGAACTTGCATTCCATAACATAATGAAATTCATCACCAATAGTTTTACAATCACAAATGGTACATATTCTTAAATTTCTATCAATATTATTCCATCACCTATAAGAATATGAATAAATCACATTTGTAAGCTTACTTTCATGGGCTGTTAAAATTTTTGCCCAGTACATAACCATTTTTAATTTTATAAATAATGTCAATGGATATCTACCTGTTTCTCCATACATCATACAATTTGGAGTACTAGATTTAAGATTTCAGGAATTTTAAGTGCACTTTTTCTATTATGTCTAAATTTTCATATCCCCAGACTTCACAAGAATGAAGTAAAATTGGGTTGATGACTTCATGTCAATAAAACGCATCCTTTACAGAAAAAACAACATTGTCATCAAACATGTATTTACACAATCCATTTCTTTATGCTATTGTCTTTATTTATTGTATTGACTAGTATGTTTAGTTTGAAAATTTTCATTCAAGCCCTCCACCGGCAAATGTTTTTACCAAAAGAATGAGGAACCTCAGTCTCAACCCCAAAGCACACATATACACAAAAACACACACACGAACGAATATACGCCTCTTCTTCTTCAGATTAGTATTATAGAGATTGTTGTAATGGTTACACAATCTGTATCGTGAATCAATTTACATATATCTTCATAAATGGTTTCCGAAACTTTCCTTGATTATGATTCGGTTCTTTTTTTTTTTTTGGGGGGGGGGGGTGAAGACAGAAATGAGAATCGGAAACGTGAAAAGAAATTCAACATGTATTTACCATGTCACATCACGATCTCATAACTAGATGTTTAGACTAATTTGATTCAACCAAACTTTAACAGTTCAATTGCTACCAGAATGAAACATGAATAATTTATTGCACAAGTTGTGTCTAACAAATTAATGTACACACCATATGAGCAGGGACCTATATACTAGTATATGGGTCCCTGATATGAGAGACAATTTTATTTTATTACTAAATGTGATTTCCAAATTCTCAAAAAATTCATTAAGTACTTGATCCATCTGCATGAAGTTGATAAACATGCAATCTTCTTGTCCAAATTAATATATATTGCATGTATGATATAACTGTAAATTGTCTCAATTTATTTGTTATGACAATAATATTTTATACACTGTTTGTATAATGAGGAAAGGATCTTTTAAGTTGAAATAACTTGCATCCTATCCTTTTCGAAATTTATTTCATTAATACAAAAATAAATAAATAAATAAATAGATAAAAAGAAACAAACAAAGAACAAAATCCCCAGTTTCCAAACATCGTTTGCGATATAAATTTATCAATTATATATAATCAATAATAATCCATTGATATTCACAATAATTTATAATTGATAATTATATTTTTTAATCATTTATTCTTTTATTCTTGAAAAAATATTGTATTTCGAAGAGAAGATAATTAATGAGCATTTAGAGATGATTATTTAATGATTTATTCTATATAATTTCAAATATTTTAAAGTGTTTTTTTTTCATAAATAATAATAATTGTATAATGAATGAAACATTATAACATATCTGTACTTTATAAGCCAAAAAAAAAAAAAAAAAAAAAAAAAAAAAAACAATCGGGCGTGGTATACGGTATACTATGAAGCCCATCAATGGCAGCTGACTTCCTCCAATATTTACGATAAAATGGGCTCTAAAACCTTAGGGGTAAGGATTGACCTCAAAAAGTTTATGTTTGTGAGGTATTAGTATCCGTATCAATTGATATCCACAGTCATTGCAGAATTTCATCAGTCATTTCGGCGCATTCTACTTACATTTCGGCGGAAACCCGACATTTCGGCGTTTCGATGCACCGATTAAATTGATTATTGTGTTATATAAATCAAGTAAAGTTTAAAGGAAAAAAAAGTAATGTTAAAAAATATATGTTAAGAAATATATATCTATTCACATATAATAAATTCACCATATATGGCATATTTATGTATTCAGAACGAAATATTGCGGCGTGAACCATCTCAGGGCGAAACAGAATTGGCACAAACCATTTTGTAGCAAACCATGCACCGTCGCGATACCGGTAATCAATGTGATCCGCGTAAGTGATCCGAAACAATCTCCCTTGCAGAGTTGTCGTTCGTTTCTCTCTCAGACTAATTGTTCCAGATATACTTAGATAATATCTATCTTAAAAGAGAAACATTAGTGCAGGCATTTAATTATAATGAATTCAAACAAACGCACTATTTCTCGTGCTTATCACTGTGATATACGCGAGCCAACGACAGAGGTGAATGTATGAGCCGATGATAGAGAGTGGATCCGAAACTGTCGTAATTTCAGTTGTTGCATACACTCCGGTTACTTGCAAAAGCAGAGTAATAAATTAACAAATCTAATTATATATGAAAGGTACGAGATAGAGGCTCTAAATCGTACGTAAATATATGTATTAATCACGTTATTATTTTTCACTACCAATGAATAAATGAAAACTGATACGGAACTACCGTAAACACTGTATATAGCAATGTTTTTTCCCAATTATTTGCAAGATGGCTCGAAATAGGGTACACAATTTGGTCCTTAGTTAGGCCTATAAAAACTATCTCTCTAAACATATTCAGTCAAACTATTTTCGGGACCGTTACAGTCCAGTAGGAAGCAATTTCAGTTGGGGGGGGGGGGGGCACAGCCATACATTTGTCAGTTGACAGTTGAGCAGCTGTTGAAGGGGCACTACCAAAAATTCTTTGACAAGCAAAAAAAAAAGGTCTTCAGACATTTTTATTGAGGGGGCACAAGCATATAGTATCTATGTTTACTACAGTAATCTATATATCGGCAAAATTATTCCGTGCCCCCCCCCCCCACGGTTCCTACGACCATGCCGTTATATGTACATGTATATCTACGACAAACAATTTTTTTTATACTTGTATATATACATGTAAAAGATCATAACAATGTTTCTAAAATGTATAATTCTAACGTATTGAACATCATAAGAAAAAAATTTCAAAAAATTTTAAAAATAAACTTGTGTATTTATTGTCTATGAAAATTTGTGAAGGTGGAATCATCAGTATGTCGATTTCGGTTACACTGGCCAAGGGAATTTTGTCAGTATCCTACCAGATGGCATAGCGAGCGTAGCGGAATTCCTACCAGTGAGCTTCGCGATCGAGTGGAAATCCTACCAATGAGCATTGCAATCCTACTCGTGAGCATTGCAAGCATAGTGGAAATCCTACAAGTGAGCATTAACTGCAAGCGTAGCGGAATTCCTACAAGTGAGCTTCGCGAGCATATCCAAAATTCTACATATAGTAATGAACATTGTGAGCGTAACAGAAAACCTATATTCCAGTGATCTTCATGATTTTAGCAGAAATCCTACCAATGACCTTCGCAAGCATAGCAGAAGTCCTATATCCGTGAGCTTCGCGAGCATAGCGGAAGTCCTTATGTGAGCTTCGCGTGTGTTGTGGTAATCCTTCAACAAGCTGTGCTCTCAAAATCATTGGTAAGATTTACAATGTATGCCTTTCTCTCATTTATTTTCACCTCATAGATAAAACTGCGATTGACTTACCTGTTCATTCGAAGGAAGCGTGACACTCGTAGATCTCATATATCTATAAAAGTAACCAGAAAACCAAGCATTTGATAAAACCATGCACAAATAGTACAAAAAGCTAACTTCTACGAGGGGCGGCAAGTCCATTCGCCCTAGTTTCAAATCTTTAAATGTATAAAAGCGAGCCCTCCATCGAATGAGCTACCGTGACGGTTTATTCAAAAGAAGATTTTGAAAAGACTGACCCAACTTTGGCTCGATTAAACCTAGCCCCAACAGGTTATCATATGATTTGACTAAGCTACGGACTCACATAACATGCGATGGCTTCAATATAATTAACCTGGAAAAATTGCCTATATAGTTGTTATAACGAAGGAGAGGTTTAAAGACTTTTTCCCCGATTTATGTGCATTTTAAAAAATCTATTTTATGATTTTAGTCAATATTTTTCTTCAAAACTTGAATCCAAACAACTTAGTAATGTTTGCAAATTAATATGAGTTAATGTGGCTCTGCTACCCCTGTAAAGATTTTTTTTTAATTTGATATAGATGTATCCCCGTGTAAAAATTTGATCCCCCCTTTTTTGTTGCTCCATCCTACCCGTGGGGTCATTATTTGAACAAAATTAAATCTGCACTATATACATGTATAAGGGGGCATGCATATCAGTATCACTAAAGTTGGCCCTGCAGCTCCTGAAAAAAAATTTTAAAGATTGATTTTTTTCTCCTCATGATCCCCTATATTGTGACCAACCTCAGTTACCCTGGGGCCATGGTTTAAAACAAATTTGTATATATACTATCTGAGCATGCTTTTTGGCAAGATTGGTTGAAATTGGCCCATGAAGTGGTTCTGCATTGAGATGTGAAAAGATATCAGACGAACGGATAGACATACAGACAATGTTCAGACAACGTTTGAACAGAAAAGGTCACTTTGAACGTTTCCTTCAGGCGAGCTAAAAATATACACGTATACACATGCGCGGATCAAGAGGGGGAGGGGTCTGGACTTCCCCCTGGAAATTGCAGAGGTATTAAAAATATATAATGAAGCAAAGTGAAAAATAACTTTGACCCCTTTCTAGAAAACGTGGACCCGACCACCACCACGAAATAGATGTTTTTCAAGTTTGGGAAATGGATTTTCCTTTTTTTTTTTTTTTTAAATTTTTTTTTATTTTCCTTGTCAAGAAAGGAGTTTAGGTTTTTTTCATGTCAATAAATTTTTGGGTTGGAAATTTGTTTTTGACTGGGATGGACCCCCTCCCCCCCTGGAAAAAATCCTGGATCCGCGCCTGTATACAGGTGTAAATGATTATATTTACAACTTCTATTGGAATGATGCACTTGAGGAAACAAGCAGACCTACATATTTTTCGGCAAACAGGGGGCGACAGGTTACAAGGGAGAATTAATGTATTTCACTGTATTTCACTGCTTGGACTTTCTCCGAGATTTTGTACTGGTTTGTACTGGTGATGCTTACTTGTACTTGCATGATGTGTCACTTCAATAGACTGATATGTTTGATAATTGGTTTAGTTCAGTTATTATGTCCTTGTTTACATACCTGTTAAGCTGTTTAGTATTCTTCACCCAAGAAATCGCTTAAAATCGGAGACCTAGTCAACTGTCACCTACATATTGGTTATCATGGCGTAATGGTTATGTAGTTCACAGATGGAACGCCATTACTGTCATCATCAGATTGTTACTTATTTCATTCCATAGATGCTTGTTCCCTGAACCTATGAGTCGAATAAATCTTACAATATAATGATAGAGGGCGGAGCCCTCTCACGGGCCCGAAGGGCCCGTGAGAGCGAAGCTCTCCCTATAGGTAACACGTATGTATGTAAAATATATTGAATTCTACAGTAAACTATATTTTTATTACAATACCTATGGAACTGAGAACCTTGTCGCCAATATGGCGTCCATAGTCTTATCCATCTTGAATCTCGCGGCAAATTCCCGCTTAAACGAGATGTTGGTGAATCGTAATTTTAATTCAAATCCTGCGTTAATGAAGTTTCCTCAATTCCAATAATCAAAAACATCCTTACAGTACACATCCTTGTTACTTTCGTTTTCATCTAGGCCTAGCCTAATTTGATCGTCATAGACCCGACATATGACGTCATTCATTGACTGAATCAGCGGAATCTGCCGACTTTTTAACAACCTTTAATAATTGATATTTTATATACGTAATCTCTTTTTAAAAACAGATTTACAACTCTTAATAAACCATACTATGTTTTTGGAGAAATTAAAATAAAATCGGTTTAACGAATTCTAGTGACGTCACTGTCTAGACTGCGTATTATGCACATAGAGGGGCGGATCTTTCTGTGGCCCCTTTCACCAGACTTTAAAGGAATTTATTTAATAATAAAATTTACTAATTACGAAATGTCTTGAGGATTATTCTCAACACACAGCAATTAAGCTAGAAATATAATTTTTTGTGACATAGTATAATTTTCCTGTTGAATAATTTTAAAAAAATGTTTTCATAGTGGTAGAATATCTCCTGAAAAGAATTACTGAATTCTGGTATGGACTCCAGAACAGGGAGGGGTAATGGATTTTAATTTTCTCTCTCTCTCTCTTTAATTCTTGTACCCTATTTGTTTTTGATTACCTGTTTGTTAATATATACATTTGCAGGTGGGGATCTGTGTCTCATTTTTGTTGTTGTGAATTTGTTTATTTATTTTTTTTTTTTGTCCAAATTTTTTTCTTCATTTTTTAAAGTGTCAAATTTCTGTTTCCTGAAGTTCACCATCAAAACAAAAATCTGTTAACATGTGTGAAGCTCAAACTTCCACATTTGATTCTGTTATCAGATGCGGATCCAGGATTTTTTTTCCGGGGGGGGGGGGGGTGTTGGGTTCACCCCAGTCAAAAAAAAATTCCAACCTAAAAATTTCTTGACAAGCAAAAATAAATAAATAAATAAATAAATAAATAAACAAATAAATAAAAAAAATTAAAAAAAAAAAAAAAAAAACAAAACAAACTAAAATCCATTTCCAAAACGTGAAAAATACCTATTTCGTGGTGGTGGTGGTGGGGTCCACGGTTTCTAGAGTGAGTCCAAAGTCAATTGATCCGCGCATGTGTTATCTATAAAATTAGATATTTCATCCGAACAAACACTTCCCAGCTCTCTCTCTATATATATAGTACATGTGACACACTTTAACGGGTCAAATATATAATTTTAAAAAGGTTTAGGATTTCTGATTTTTATTTCAAAAAGTACTTTTAAAAACATAGAACAGAAAATTTATTCAGTCAGTTGGAACACATGGTGGATTATGATAGTATATAAAGTTTAAAATCATATGAGAAACACCAAACAATTTATGATGGGCAGAGAGGTTGCTGTTCAGTTTACATGAAACAGTAAATAAATATATACAAACGTATATATTACTTCAATGTTGCAGCAATTAAACCGCATACTATAAATATATATATATATACCTCTACAGTACCGATCAGTTTCCAAGTACCCTGATAACCCAGAAGGTAGATCTGTCTGTAGTTTGGGTCCCAAGTTCGTCATCTACATGATGTGGTCCCATTGTCCTTATTTGTATTTAATGTCATGACCATACAATGGGAGTAACTGATGAGAATTAAATGACTTTATGTTTCTATATTACTGTCTTTAAATGTGCATGTAGTCATGAAGAATAAAGAAATGATGCTCAGGAAAGTCTGTTTATTAATTGTTGGACAGATACAAACGTTTTAGAGTTCTAGGGCCTGGGTAGGTCGAATCCTTGACTTGTCCAGTGCACGCTCTCTCTTTCCCCAACATACTATTTGTTGAGTGCTCTGGCTAGGCAACTCGTAATGAAACATCATAGTGTAAGTTTACCAGATACCCTTAAATTTCATTATTTGAATGAAAAGTATTTGAGGTATAAAAGAATGATTTTTTTTCAAAAGGACTGAGGTCTTTGTTATGGTTTTCTGACATTGATTACAATTAAATTTTAACACTGATTTATCATTAAAGAATAAAACATGGATATGTTCTCTTGCTGGCTCCGCCCTCACTAACGGTCGCACTGTCTAACATATTAATTTTCTCTTGCTATTTTTCGCAGACAGAAGAAGAAGAATTTTTTTTAAAAGGGGTCGGGATATGACCAAGGCTGTTTGTGTCTCAGGGACGGGTGAGATTCACTCCGGAACTAAAAGTGCGCATGCGCAAAAACATCAAACCCGATCATAATTACCCAAGTCAACATGGCGGCGTCCATGAATATAAGAAAGCTCAATCAATCAATGTGCGCTCTTCTTAAACTGATCGTAAGTGAACAATTCCTACTTCTTATTCAGTAAAAGCGTTTCTAATTTACGTTATAATATATATATTTGTTATTGGAAACAGTATAGGTATTAAATTATTGTGTGTGTGTGGCCGGGGGGGGGGGGGGTTACATATGTATAGCGTGGGGGGGGGGGAATTATCTTTAATGAAAATTTACATAGTAAAATATATATAACTTTCTCCAAAAGAGTGAAAGAAGAGTGAAGGATGACCCCCCCTCCCAGGCCTACACACACACAACCCCAACCTATGGGCTTTTAAAAAGCTAGGATGGTGTGAAGGGGAAGAAGAAAAGGTTAGGAAAGAATCCTTGGTGAAAAATCTGGCAAAAGAATATTTTACATTTATAATGCAATGAATAATTTTTTTTATCTCTCTGTTTTTATTTTATTTATAAATAATTTAATTTTGTTTGTATTCTAGCCTCTGATTGGTTAATATCCAAAAAGGAACACAAATTATTGTATAACCTGGTTTGGTATGGGGACACACCCCCCTGACAACCAGCTGAATCATCTGTATCCATACAATCCTCTCATTTCCAGTCCTCGGGATTCATGGAAAATTCCAGATTTAATAAATGTACCTTTAACTTCAAACATTAATTCGATCTTACCACATGTAAACGAACAACAAGGCTGCTAGGCCTATGCATCAGTTTTTACCTCCCCTCGCTTCCCATCACTTCCGTTACTTCCGTTACTATGGTTGTATTTTTGAGCGGCAAATTTGAACTAATAAAAAGCAACGAAATTTTACACCCATAGTTATTTAATGATTTTAAAATTAAATTATAAGGAATGACTCTAATTCTTGGCCAAATTATTCGAGTATAACCTGGTTTGGGTCAGTTTACGCTGTTTTATAATCCGCTTCGTGGATTATAAAGCGTAAACTGACCCAAACCAGGTTATACTCGAATAATTTGGCCAAGAATTAGAGTCATTCCTAAAATAATTCAATGTTGAGACTAGCTGTTGAACTATTAAAGTAATATCACATGTTATATTAGTTATCAATCTGAGGGATAAATTTAATTTTATTTTTTTCTTAATTTTATTTCTTTTTTCTTTTTTGGAAAACGTAACATACATGTATGTTACCATAGATGTGGACCCCTTTACTAGGTTCAATGTTGGCAAGTTCATGTTAAGATAAGTAGGCAAGTACAAAGTACAATATAAATTTTTCACCTTTCAAATTTCCACTAATAAAAAAATGAACTTATTTCATCCCTTTTTGGTAAAATAATCATAGCAATTGACAAACATTTTAATCAAAACACAGGAATCTCTTAAATCCATGCAGTTTTCTGTGAATGATGACCTATTGCTCCAAGACTAGTTCACTAAAAATTGTCATTGAAATATGCATTTTTCTCCAGGTCCTCATACTGAGCTGGAGTTTTGCATACTCTGCAAAAGTTATAATGGAGGGAATGACTATGTCAACCTAAAAACCTCTCCTTTGATATGAGATATCAAAATCACAACTTATAAAGTATAGTTTACTCTCATAATTCAAAGCAAACTAATATTTTAATTCAGTTCATCCTAGATTGGACAGATGAACACTAGGGGTTCCACCCCATGCAGACACTCGCCATGCGTTCACAATTACATATGTTTATTTTTCTTATGCAGATTGGTCGTATGGCTTAAAGTTATTAATAAAGAAAGAAAGTATATTTAAAGAAAAAAATATTTCAACCCATTATCTCAAAATTGGGGAAAATACAAGGCTGGATTATAAATTTATTAAGTATTTGAGGCTTCGCCGCCTCGGGAAATAGTTTCCTCCCTCGGGGAACCATAAATTTGCTATTTCCCTCATACCCATTCCATAACTGTATACTATTGAATGAAATTATTGCACTTGGAGGTAATTTGATGATCATGTTTGAAAAAAAGTATCATCATGATATTATAAGTCTTTTTTATGAACATAATTTGTAATGAGATTCAATAAGGTATAATATATGGTTCTTTTTTGCCAGCAATACCTTTGAAAAGGCCATTAAAATCAGCTAATTGGCCCATGATTTTATTGAAAGCATTGGATATTAATTTGGGTTTATCCATCTGTCTGTCAGTCTATCTGTTACACTTTAGAAATAAGGTATTGTTTTGAATTTTTTATCATAATGTAAAATATGGATCAAATCCCTCATGGTAGATTTGATCATATACCAACCCAAATTTACATCATGATATAAATTTTAAAATGATACCTTATTACTTATTTTTACATGCTGGACCGATTTATAACAATTGTTTGCACACTTAAGTTTTAAATCCATGAAATGATTTAT